ACATAAAAATTGCAATACCCACCATTTTATTCTCTAGAGCCTCTGATTTAACAAAATATATAATGTTTAGGGGTTTTTAAAGTAATTTTCGAGCAACAAATACTGATTTTTCCATGTTTAAAAATGGATCAGAAAAGGCTTAATCTTAAAGTGGTTAGAAGAGTGGGTGAAGTGTGCCATAACCTTCTAATGTTGGACATAAAATGCCAGGACAGTTCAAACAGCCCTCAAATGACTTTTTTGAAAGTAGACACTCCAAGGTATTTGCTAAGAGGCATGTTGAGTGTATAGAGATTTTATATTTTTGCAACAGGTTTCTGGAAAACTACAAAAAAAACATTTTGTTTTTACACAAAGGTGTCACTTGAATTATATATATTTCTCATGCATGCCATGGGTATATGTGGAATTACACCTCAAAACACATTCTGCTACTTCTCCCGAATATGGGGATTCCATATGTGAGAGACTTTTTGGCAGTCAATCCACATACAGAACCCCAAAATCCAATAAGCGCCTTCAAGCTTTTAAAGAGCTTTATTACCTCAGTACACTTCCTGACTACCTCTCACAATTTCGGAAGACCTGAAATGCCAGGATAGTACAAACACCCCCCAAATGACCCCTTTTTTGGAAAGTAGACATTAGTAAGAAGGAAGTAGAAAGTAGTGGTAATTGAATAAGGAGCATGGCAAGTATTTTACAGATCTCATTTGGAGCCACAAGTTTTTGGAAATGAAAGAAAACTAAACTGCATTTTTTCTTTTATTTTATGTTCAAAACCTTGTGAGAAAAAATATAAAGATTCACCATGCCTCAATTCCTTGGGGTGTCCTGGCATTTCGGGTTCTCCAAAACTATGATAGGTAGTGAGGAAGTGACATAAGGAAATATGTCCTTTGACATCCTGAAGGTGTTCATTGGATTTGGGGGGTCTGTATGTGGCTAGACTGCCAAAAAAAGTAAAAATTTTTAAGGTCCTCTGAAACTGAGATAGGTACTGAGGAAGTGAAATGATAAAAGTAGGCCCTTTAAAAGCCTGATGGTGGTCATTGCATTTCGGGCCCCGTATGCAGCTAGGCTCTCAAAAAGTCTCACATGTGGTCTCCCCATATTCAGGAGAAGTAGCAAAATATGTCTTGGGTGTGTTATTCTAAATATACCTATGGCATGTGTGAGTAACATATCATTTAAGTGACAACTTTGTGTGAAATGTTTTTTTTTTTAAATCTTCCAAAAATTTGTGGCAAAAAATAAAAATCTTCCATGGGCTCAATATCCCTCTCAGCAAATAGCTTGGGGAGTCTACTGAGGTCATGGGGGGGGGGGGGGCAGGGTTGTGCTATCCTGGCATTTCAGAGCCTCTGAAACTGTGATAGGTAGTAAGGAAGTGAAATTATGCCCTTTGAAAGCCTGATGGTGGTTATTGCTTTTCAGGCCCCGTATGCGGCTAGGCTCTCCAAAAAAGTCTCACACATGTGGTATTCCCATACTCAAGAGAAGCAGCAGAACGTATTTTGGGGTGTAATTCCACATACATCCAAGCATGTGTGAGCAATATGCCATTTACAACTTTGTGTACAAAAAATTTTTTTTTTTTTTATTTTCAAACTTGTGGCAAAAAATTATTGTGGCTCAACATGCTTCTCGGCAAAATTCCTTGGTGTGTCAAAAAGGGGTCATTGGGGGGGGGGGGGGGTTGTAATGCTCTAGCATTTTAGCACCTCAAAAAAATGCGATAGGCAGTCAGAAAATAGAAGCTGTGTAAATTCCAGTATATACACCATAGTTTGTAGACGCCATAACGTTCACAGCAAACCAATTATTATACAAGTACTGGGATTTTATTTTACCAAAGACTTGGCAGAATACATTTTGTTGCAGAATACATTTTCTAATGGGCGGAGCGCGGGAAGAGCTCAGGGGAAATTCATTCACACTCTGTGTTCACCAAGACACTATTTGGCACCATTTTGGAGTTTATACTTTGATCCAAAAGGTTTGGGACATTCCTGATTCGGGCACTGCATGAAAAGCCAGATGAGATCCAATATTCCAATGCTGGTTGAGACCCCCTATAATTAAGGGGTCTCTGCTTTTGGTAAGCCTCCATTTTATTCACTTGGCGGTGGTGCACATATTGGCAAATATTTGGAGAAACAGTATTCACGATATCAATGTTACATTCACAGTACTGAAATATGGCTTAACCATTGGTCGTGGAACTTTATATCCATACGGACTGTAATGTGTGTTTGTATGGACTATATGTCACTGTTTGTTCGATTTGATCACCTTTCATATACCTGGGTATATGAGACTTTATAGTGAATACATATGATAAGTGAGTGTTATATATTATATGTCACAATTTGATTTACTAGTTTTATTTTTTACTGATTTGATTGCTTTTCATAGGTATGAGTGACTTCATAGGAAATATGTATGATAAGTGAAGTTTACAATGTTATTATACAAAGCACAGTATTTTATTTAACAAGAATACATTTATGTAACAAATAAAAGAAGCGCCACAGAAAATAACAAGATAAATAATAAGCAGCACCTCTAACCAAAAAAGGTGAAATTGTGTATAATAAAAGAGTGCGCTAATTATTCACAAAAAACGCAAGGATAAATAATAGAAATAACAAATAAAATCCATAAATATAAACATAAGTCCAGCCACCATAAACAGTGATAATCCAATATCAACTTAATGTCAATCTTGAAACAAACACCCATGTGCGAATCCGACACCAGGTGAAATGAATACACTCACTAGCGCACTCTTTATTTATACACAAGAATACATTTATAACTAAATTTGAGTTCACTGGATATTTTTTATGCCAGAAAGTAGGAAATATCTTTTTTTTTTTAATTTTCATTCTTTTTTGTTTATATAAAAAAAAATAAAAAATCCAAATACCACCAAAAGAAAGCTCTATTTGTTTGAAAAAAAAAAGAACATACATTTTGTTCTGGTACAGTGTTACATGACCATACAATTACCAGTTGAAATAGCGCAGCACCAAATGGCAAAAAATGGCCTGGTCATGAAGGGTGGTAAAAACTTCTGAGGCTGAAGTTCTTCTAGCCACTTTCAGTCTGTTGATATTGCGTTAATCACTATTGCACCTTTTTTTATCCAAGAAAAGGTAAATAAATGAGCCATAACTTTAAGACAGCAGGGTATGGTTTTACTTTACACATAAATGGAAAGGAAAACCATTAAAGGAGCATGACCAAAGCTTTTTGGCCATACTTTCCATGGGGATCACAGACGTGCACTTAGTTCTGCACTCCCGTGTCCCAGACTGTATCACAGACCTGTTTGAGGCTCTGCAGGAATTCCAACAATAATGCTGGGATCTGCACAGATGCCTGCCCAGCAGCTGGCTCAAACTGAGCCATCCACTCCCCCGCCCCCTAAGAACTAAAAACTAAGTGTTCAACGGTCTTTGATAATGATAATAATTATGATCATTGGGATGATTACATCGATAACATGGTCTTGTTTTGAAAGTCACCTTAAACATTTACTGACATCACATATACCAAATTATACAAATAGTAAATGTTGGAAGTGGATGCGTAATAGATGCGTGGTAGATGTGTGGTAAATGCATGCTGAATGTCAGTGAATCCAACATGGGAAATATAACTGGAATCTATAAGGATTTATACAGTAACTGCTTAGTCTATCACAACAATTACCATTCCAAAGTAAAAAAGTGTAATACAGTCCAAAACCTGCTAAAACCACTAAGCATAGTCTTTCTGATCTGCACTTTGTCACACTGTCCTTGCAGTTTCATGGTATGCATATCTCCTCTATGACATTGTGGAAGAATGCACAGCGGCAGAGCAAGGAAACTCCAATAGGATCATGAAAAACGTTTTTTGTTTTGTTTTTTTTCTACTGCAGATAATAGCAGCTATGACATATCAAGGAAAACCATGAGTGATACTGTAATAATGGTACATTTTTATTTTCTATTGATATTTATATTTGCCTTTGTTTCTTTTAATACAGTCTCCCACCAGATATGCATGCACATATACAAATGTCAAAAATATGTAGGTGAGCCATTTTTCCCAACATGTAGCAGCATATCCTTATGCTTTGATGCATTCAACTGGTAACACTCTTATAAATAGCAAAAGGCTGCATTTTCCTTTAAATCCAATCCTTGACAGGGAAACATTTGACTACAGATCTTATTATAGATTGCAAACATTTTGCCAAGTTGCATCCTGGCATACCAGTCTGGTCTGTGTAAAATAAGGATGAAGGCTCAGAACTATTTTAATAGTTTCCAAATGATTTTGCATATGAAAAATAAGAATGTATTAGAATAGTTTTCCTAAAACTGTTTAAAATTTATTTAAAGTCTCTAAATTGCGTCATAAAGTACTGTGCGTAATTGTCATAAGAACATATAAGATCATTTAAGAAATGTTCTCTCTCTCTGTAAATAGAACGTGGTTGTAACTGGTAGTGATGAGCCAAACGCACCTGGGTTCGGTTCAAGCACGGTTCGGCAAACAAAGTTCGACTGCCGAATCTGAAAACTATTAAAGTCAAGGGAAACCGGATGCTAAAAATCAGTACTAACCATTTTCTAGGCTAATAGGCAAAGGATTATCAAGCACATGAGGGCTGGGCACTGCCCTGGAGGACCAGCAATTTTAGTAATCCTTAAAGTGAAACATTAAAAATTCAAAACTCCTTTAAACACTATGTCTTCCCAGGGCAAGATGTGCCATGCTGATAGACTCTTGCCCCAAAAGACTGAATGCTGTCATAAAATCAAAAGGGGCTTCAACAACGTATTAGTTTAACCACCTTCCGCCCGCCATATAGTAATATGACGGGCACAAGGTGGTTCTCTCGTTCTGGGAGGACGTCATATGACGTCCTCCCATTCTCACTGCACATGTGCGGCTCAGGGAGCGTGCAGCGCGGTGATCAGCGGTGGCGCTGTGTCCCTCGGACACAGTGGATCACCGATCACGGAAAGAGCCGAAGATGTCGGCTCGGTCATGTGATCAACTGTGTCCAATCACAGCTGATCACATGTAAACAGGGAAATGCCAGTTATCTGCATTTCTCTCCTCTCGAGCTGTCACACTGACAACTTGAGAGGGAAATGAGAGCCTGTAATCAGCTTTCCGCGGAGGGGACATGTACACTGATCATCAGGGCCCTGATGATCAGTGTAGCCCCAGCAGTGCCACCTGTCAGTGTCCATCAGTGCCTTATGTCAGTGCTCATCAGTGCCTCGTGCCAGTGGCCATCAGTGCCACATATCAGTGCCTACCAGTGCACATCAATGCCACATATCAGTGCCCATCTGAGCTGCCTTTCAGTGTCACCCATCAGTGCCAGTCAGTGCCACCTATCAATGCCAATCAGTGCCACCTATAAGTGCTGCCAATCAGTGCCACCTATCAGTGCGAGTCAGTGCTGCCTATCCTGCGCTATCAGTGCGCATCAGTGCCTGTCAGTGCTGCCTAACAGTGCCAGTCAGTGCCCCCTAACAGTGCCAGTCAGTGCTGCCTATAAGTGCCAGTCAGTGCCGCCTATTAGTGCCAGTCAGTGCCACCTATCAGTGCCATGTATCAGTGCTGCCTTTCAGTGCCCATCAGTGATGCCTGTCAATGCCCATCAGTGCCACGTACCAGTGCCTCCTCATCAGTGCCACCTATCAGTGTCCATCAGTGCAGCCTATCAGTGCCCATCAGTGCAGCCTCATTAGCGCACATCAGTGAAGGAGAAAAAAATCACTTATTTACAAAATTTTTAGAACAAAAACTAAGAAAAAACGTTTTTTTTTTTTCCAAAATTTTCAGTGGTTTTTTGGTTTGTTTAAGAAAAAATAAAAAAACCCAGAGGTGATTAAATACCACCAAAATAAAGCTCTATCTGTCACAAAAAAATGATAAAAATGTCATATGGGTACAGTGTTGCATGACCACGCAATTGTCATTCAAAGTGCGACAGCGCTGAAAGCTGGAAATTGGCCTGGGCAGGAAGGGGGTATAAGTGCCCTGTAGGCTAGTGGTTAAAGTGGCTCTAAAGCCTTAAGGTTTTTTACCTTAATGCATTCTATGCATTAAAGTATAAAAAACCTTCTAAACTGCAGGATCCCCCCCCCCCTTATTCTTACCTAAGCCCGATCTGATCCATTGATGTGCACAAGCAGCAGCTCGTGCACTTGTCTCCCTTCTCATTGAGCGTATTGATATTAGCTGGAGCCATTGGCTCCCGCTGCTGTCAATCAAATGCTGTGATGAGGGAGCAGGGGGAAGTTCTGAGCAGCCCGCTCCATGCCAATAAACACAGAAAGGGTGTCTTGGGAGCAGGCCTACACAGGTGCCCACATTGAAAGCGGCTTCCTATGGGAGCCCATGCTGAAGAGGAGGAGCCTGGGGAGCCAACGGGGAATCCCAGAAGAGGAGCATTGGGGCTGCTCTGTGCAAAACCAACTCATAGCAGCCGGGTACCAAGCACTGTGATCACACATCCAGCAAACACAGTAGTGTAGACTTTTTTATATCCAATCTCGTTGTCTACAAGAGAAACATTTCCTAGTACTTTACATAACTAATACATGTGCCCAAGCACTTACGCTGGTTAAACTTTTTTGACAGCAGTGGATAGACAAATCTTTCACTGTGGCTATTGTATTTGGACAGCCAGGACCAGCAGCTGTCGGATTAATCGAAAAGCAGCTGCCTATGATTGGATGATTTAGCCTACACAGCTTGCCATGTGGCTCCTGATTTTTCAATCAAAGGGTCCTGCACTGGGAGGGTGGCGACACGGCCCTCCACAGAGTGCAATTTAGCTAGTTCCTCAAGAAATTCGTATAGTGTATGACCAACTTAAATCCGGTACAACACACTTTGAAGAGAAACTATAACAGCTTGAGTATACAGGTGAAACTCGAAAAAATTAGAATATCGTGCAAAAGTTCATTTATTTCAGTAATTCAACTTAAAAGGTGAAACTAATATATGAGATAGACTTATTACATGCAAAGCAAGATAGTTCAAGCCATGATTTGTGATGATTATGGCTTACAGCTCATGAAAACCCCAAATCCACAATCTCAGAAAATTTGAATATTGTTGTAAGGTGAAATATTCTAGGCTCAAAGTGTCCAACTCTAATCAGCTAATTAAGCCATAACACCTGCAAAGGGTTCCTGAACTTTTAAATGGTCTCTCTCAGTCTGGTTCAGTAGGAATCACAATCATGGGAAAGACTGCTGACCTGACAGTTGTGCAGAAAACCATCACTGACACCCTCCATAAAGAGGGAAAATCCTCAAAAGGTAATTGCAAAAGTAGTTGGATGTTCCCAAAGTGCTGTATCAAAGCACATTAATAGAAATTTATGTGGAAGGGAAAAGTGTGGAAGAAAAAGGTACACAAGCAGCAGGGACGACCGCAGCCTGGAGAGGATTGTCAGGAAAAGGCCAATCAAAAGTGTTGGGGACTTTCACAAGGAGTGGACTGAGGCTGGAGTCAGTGCATCAAGAGCCACCACACACAGATGGATCCTGGACATGGGCTTCAAATGTCGTATTCCTCTTGTCAAGCCACTCCTGAACAACAAACAACATCAGAAGCGTCTCTTACCTGGGCTAAAGAAAAACAGACCTGGTCTGTTGCTCAGTGGTCCAAAGTCCTCTTTTCTGAAGAGAGCAACTTTTGCATCTCATTTGGAAACCAAGGACCCAGAGTATGGAGGAAGAATGGAGAGGCACACACTGCAAGATGCTTGAAGTCCAGTGGGAAGTTTCCACAGTCTGTGTTGATTTGGGGAGCCATGTCATCTGCTGGTGTTGGCCCACTGTGCTTCATTAAGTCCAGGGTCAACGCAGCCGTCTGCCAGGAGATTTTGGAGCACTTCATGCTTCCTTCTGCAGACGAGCTTTATGGGGATGCTGACTTCATTTTCCAGCAGGACTTGGCACCTGCTCACACTGCCAAAAGCACCAAAACCTGGTTCAATGACCGTGGGATTACTGTGCTTGATTGGCCAGCAAACTCGCCTGACCTGAACCCCATAGAGAATCTATGGGGCATTGCCAAGAGAAAGATGAGAGATATGAGACCGAACAATGCAGAAGAGTTGAAGGCCGCTATTGAAGCATCCTGGTCTTCCATAACACCTCAGCAGTGCCACAGGCTGATAGCTTCCATGCCACACCGCATTGAGGCAGTAATTGCTGCAAAAGGGGCCCAAACCAAGTACTGAGTACATATGCATGCTTATACTTTTCAGAGGTCCGATATTGTTCTTTGTACAATCCTTGTTTTATTGATTGCATGGAATATTCTAATTTTCTGAGATTGTGGATTTGGGGTTTTCATGAGCTGTAAGCCATAATCATCACAATTATGACAAATCACAGTTTGAACTATCTTGCTTTGCATGTAATGAGTCTATCTCATATATTAGTTTCACATTTCAAGTTGAATTACTGAAATAAATGAACTTTTGCACGATATTCTAATTTTTCGAGTTTCACCTGTACAGCGAGTAAAATAAGTATTGAACAGTCACAATTTTTCTCAGTATTATATTTCTAAAGGTGCTATTGACATGAAATTTTCACCACATCGGTCGGTCCGGGTAACAACCCATGCAGCTCATACATACAAAGAAACCAAAACAAATAAGTTCAGAAATTACATTATGTGTAATAAAATGGAATGACACAGGGAAAAAGTATTGAACACATGAAGAAAGGGAGGTGCAAAAAGGCATGGAAAGCCAAGATACCAGCTGAAATCTATCAGTAATTAGAAAGCAATCATGTTGCTTGTCAGTGCAAATTAATATCAGCTGGTTCAGACTCAGCTGATGGTAATAAGACACCTTTTTATAGGCCAAGGCATCACACAAGAAATATCTCATGATGGGTAAAAGCAAAAAGCAATATCAAGACCTTTTGGGACCTTATTGTCGCAAAACATACTGATGTCATTGGTTACAGAAGCATTTCTAAACTTCTGAATGTTCCAGTGAGCACTGTTGGGGCCATAATTCGGAAGTGGAAAGAACATCATTTCACCATAAACCAGCCACGATCAGGTGCTCCTCGCAAGATTTATTTTCTTGATTGAAAAATAATTACCAGAAAAGTTGTCCAAGAGCCAAGGACCACTTGTGGAGAGCTTCAGAAAGACCTGGAATTAGCAGGTATAGTTGTTTCAAAGAAAACAATAAGTAATGCACTCAACCACCATGGTCTTTATGCACACTCACCAAGCAAGACTCCATTGCTGAAGAAAAAGCATGTTGAATCTCATTTAAAGTTTGGTGCACAATATTTAGACAAGCCTGTGAACTACTGGAAGAATATAGTCTGGTCAGATGAGACCAAAATTAAACTCTTTGGATGCCATAATACACACCATGTTTGGAGGTCAAATGGTACTGCACATCACTTCAAAAACCCCATACCAACAGTGAAGTTTGGAAGTTGGAACATTATGGCGTGGGACTGTTTTTCAGCATACAATACTGGCAAACTTCATATCATTGAAGGAAAAATGAATGGAAAAATGTGCCAAGACATTCTTGATGAAAATATGCTGCCATCTACCAGGATGATTAAGATGAAACGAGGGTGGACATTTCAGCAAGATCCCAAACACAAAGCCAAGGAAGCTCTCAATTGGTTTCAAAGAAAGAAAATAAAGCTTCTAGAATGGCCCAGCCAATCACCTGACTTGAATCCAATAGAAAATCTATGGAAAGAACTAAAGATCAGAGTTCATAGAAGAGGCTACGCAATGCATACGACTAGTTTCTCCATACAGGAGGCGTCTTGAAGCTGTCATTACTAACAAAGTATTAAATATTAAGTATAAATAAATTGTACGAAGTATTAAATAAATTTCAGTTAGCATGTTCAATACTTTTTCCAGGTCATTCCATTTTATTACACATAACTTTATTTCTGAACTGATTTGTTTTGGTTTCTTTGTATGTATGGATTGCATGGGTTGTTACCGACATGGTGAAAATTTCATGTCAATAGTATCTTTAGAAATATATTTAGTGAGAAAAATGGTGACGAGTTTATTACTTATTTTACCCGCTGTATATACAGTAAATACAGCATGTTTTACATATAAACATGACAAAGGATTCCTAGAGCACTACAGTTAAAAAAAACAGCAGAGTAGATGCAGCTCACTTTAAAGTTCTGTTTGTCTGTTTAAAACCTCCAGCCAAGCTGTCTAATATAAGGTGAGTCTTTAGGCCTGACACGCTGAGGTCTATGAACAAAGGACTTCTTTCTGTATAGGTCCTGGTAACACAATGATCTACATGTGAAGACTATAGCTCCACCTGATGGCTAAATAAAATACTGCATTTTATGCAAGCATACTGTGCAATATTTACAGTATTTTTACCTAGCCAAATATATATATATTTGTTGTCCTTTTCAAAACCATTATACATTCCCATTAATCTGCTCAAGGAAAAAACTGCATAAAACTGATTGCCCACTGCCCATTA